AATTCATGTGAATATGACTGAATATTTACATTTTTTCTGAAAAGGTGGGGTCTATTTACTTGTGACCACTCAGTGTACACATAAATATACGTATCAGAAGTAAGATAGTACTTATAGTAGGACTAGACCAGAAGTGCAATACAAATTTAAGTCTCAAACATGCTGCAAACAGCATGTAAACAAAGCCTTATAAATGCTTAACAAACACTGTTGTGGTAAACAAACCAAATGCAGGAGTAAGAAGCCATCAAAGTACTTGAGAAAGTCGGTAGAGTAAAAAACAAAAAATTCACAAAACCACAAATTGTCAAAATGTCTAATGTTGTTGGAAAGGCATAACTCTCTCCTGCATTCGCCTTATGTAAATCTAAATGCACGTGATTGAATTACGCTAGCTTGGCTCAAAGCATTTTTCTTACTTTTACTTATAACCTTGATAATAATACGTAATAGCAATAACCATTTTGCAAAACTACAAACGAGCTAACAATACACTAGTAGCCATATTCTATTATTACAAGCATGCTCTGTGAGTTACCAAGTAACAACCTGTTCTCATATCACGTGGAAGTGCAAAATTGCTTATGAGCTACGTGATCAGCCTTAACTATATCAGCCAGATGAAAAAAAAAACGTGGAATACGTAGGTTCTTTAGATCTAGGTTCTAACTATGGTCTAACCTTTGAAAGCAAAGTTCTCAGTTATATAAATCTGACTCTATGGTTCTGTGTTGGACAAAGTAATTTTATTATAGTATCGGTGCTTAAGACATGAATTTCCTAGTAAGGACGAATGCTACCACTGCCGAAGTCTGACACGCTTTGTTTGAGTGCTCTGGACTGAAAATATGAATGACAAGTTGTATGATTTACCTTCGCATTGTTTTCAAACTAAATGTGACCTATTGACATTTAAGATTGTATTTGAAGCAGAGTGATTTTTAGAATAAGTATTTCAAGGAAACAAAAGAAAAGAAGAACATCTTATGTGGATAACCTTGAGAAGTCTTTGTCCCCGTAAAGAGAGCATTACTGCAAGAATAGAGATAAGGTGAAATAAGTCTTAGCCATTAATCCAGTCAAAGAAAAGGCTGCCACCCTGGCTAGATGACAAAATAAACTAGGAAAGGTATGAGCAAAAGCCAGGAAATGTTGAAAGATAGCTCTAAGAAAAGCTACAAAGAGGATAGGGTTAGAGCCCAGTCATTCTCGAGACTTAGTACCAAAAAATGCTATAAGACAAGTTTTAACAAATTTTAAAATAAAAAATTAGGAAGTATGAATGGGAGCACCAAAAGTAACATTATAACACTTGGTGGTTTTTCACACAGCGCAACCTCAATGTGAGTGTGGCCATAATTCCCCCCATGAGAAAAAATTCTGGAATCTGGCAATTCATTTGATGCAGCGACCATAAATTATCTCACCTATAAAAATGGAATGTTAGCACTGGGATATATTATTGAGAGTATCCTGGGAAATCATAAAAATGATGAAAACAAATAAGCAAAAAGTATCTTTAAAGAATTCGAAACCCTCAAGACTGAAAACAAACCCCATCACCACTAGTATTCAATAATAAAATATTAATAACATATTTGTTATCTCAAATAATCTAAATTACAAAATAAAC